AGAGAGACAAGAAGCAAAAATAATAAACTCAGCCAGGTGCAGTGAATCACACCTATAATCCCAGCAGTTTGTGAGGCTGAGGTGGGTGGATCACCTGGGTCAGGAATTTGAGACCAGCCTGGCCAACAGGGTGAAACCCGCGTCTCTACAAAAAATACAAAAATTAGGGCAAGGTGGCACTTGCCTGTAATCACAGCTACTTGGGAGGCTGAGGCAGGAGAATCACTTGAACTCAGGAGGCAGACGCTGCAGTGGGCCAAGATCGTGCCACTGCACTCCAGCCTGGGTGACAAAGTAAGACTCTGTCTCAAAAAAAGAGAAAAGTAAATAGGATGATGAGAAAATGGGTTCCAGATTGATTAATTTGGGGCAGATGAACCTCTGTGTGGGTGTGGTAGGGTAACAAGAGAGTCCTCCTTGAGGAGGCTAGGGGTTGGGGGCGGAGGCCTAGGATGAGACCACTGAGTGAACTGGAAAACTTCAGTGGCTGGCTCCTGGGCCCTCTGGCCAGCACCTCTCCTCCCTCATTGCTTGGACAGTTATTTTTTGTTGTTCCTGCCCAGGAATAGTCAAACTTAGGCATAGCAACACCTCCGTGGAGGACCATCACTCAGCAAACATTTATTGAGTACTTACTATGTACCAGTCATTATTATTATTATTTTTCTGAGACAGAGTCTTACTCTGTCATCCATGCTGGAGTGCAGTGGTGCAATCTCAGCTCACGGCAAACTCTTCCTCCTGGGTTCAAGCAGTTGTGCCTCAGCCTCCTCATTAGCTGGATTACAGGCCCATGGCCACCACACCTGGCTAATTTTTGTATTTTTAGTAGAGATGGGGTTTCACCATGTTGGTCAAGCTGGTCTCAAACTCCTGACCTCATGATCCACCCTCCTTGGCCTTCCACAGTGCTGGGATTATAGGTGTGAGCCACCTTGTTTGGCCACCAGTTATTATTTAAACTGCTAGAAATACAGCAATGAAGAACATAGACAAAGATTCCTATCTTCATCATGCACATATGCAAGTGTATCTGAAGGATAAATTATTAGAAATGGAATTACTGGACCAAAAGGCAAATGAATTTAAAATGTTTGCCAATATTACCAAATTGACATACAAAGAGCTTATTATATTTTATGTCCCATTTGGATGACCATTTCCCTAGGAGTGTATCTGTCTTTCTTTTTTTTTTCTGAGACAGGGTCTAACTCTGTCACCCAGGCTGGTGTTCAGCGGTGCAGTCACTGAACTGCATTTTTTTTTTTTTTGAGGTGGAGTCTCACTCTGTTGCCCAGGCTAGGGGACAGTGGTACAATCTCAGCTCACTGTAACCTCCACCTCCCGGGTTCAAGCTATTCTCCTGCCTCAGCCTCCCGAGTAACTGGGATTACAGGCATGCACCACCACACCCGGCTAATTTTTTGTATTTTTGGTAGAGACGGGGTTTCGCCATGTTGGCCATGCTGGTCTTGAACTCCTGGCCTCCAGTGATCCGTCTGCTTTGGCCTTCCAAAGTGCTGGGATTACAGGTGTGAGCCATCATACCTGGCTGCCCCCATTTTAGGACTAAGAGAAGAAAGGTGATAAGGAGCTGCTATTTCAAAAAGATGAATGGGAGGGAAGGGATCAGAAAGTGACATCATCAGGGAGCACTTGGTTCAGGCATGGGTAGCAAGTTCAGTTACCTTGCTCCTGGCAGCAACAGAAGTGGGGGAAGGGGGCTCTTGGAGAAATTTTTGTCTGTAAGTGTCACAACACTGTTGCAGCGGGAGTATGACCCTAAGTGCTTGGCAGGAGCACAGGCCTGCTGCTTCCCTGCATTCTGGGCTGACCTCTTCACCTGAGCTGAACAGCGGATGCTTTTGGCCTTCTTCCTGGAACTAGACAGCTGTTAGGCTTAGGGAGCAGCTCGGGACCTACAAAGTTGGGGTGCAGGTAGGGAAAGAGGCCGCAGCATGTTGGAACAGTAAATGTCCTGATTTCCAGGACTGATTTCATGTATTCTGCCCCACAAGTTCACCAGCACCTGTCAGACTGGATGTCCCAGTTTTTGGTTTGGAAAATACGATCTGTCTCAGGTAATGGAGAAGGGGGAGACAGCAGTTCATTCATTCCAGTGTCTAAGCCTGAGGTTGGTGGGAGCAGGAGACTGTCAGAGATGGCTCCAGCCCTGCGCTGGAATCTCGCCTTGAATTCCCAGCCCCGCCCAGATCCATGCCGAGGCGAGCAGGTGGGTGGGATGGAGAGCGCTGTGTCTCACACCCTCGTAGCCTCACTTGCTTACCGTGGCCTCCGCCCTATCCCACACTGGGAAGTAGACTCTGTTAAACTCAGCTCAGCTTTGCCCCATCGGCCCGTTAGGGAGACTCCAGGGAGGGGAGAGGCGCCACGTGCTTATGGAAAGCAGCCTCCAGCCACGACTGCTTAAAGAGATGGTCTAAGCAATCAGGTTCGGTGCGGCCCAGATGCAGACGTCCGTTTCTCCCAAGGGAGGCAGCAAAGGGACTCCAGGTCCCCAAGCTGCTCTACAGCCAGTAGGGCTAACATCCCACCGTCCCTTCCCCCAACTCCCCGAGTAGCAGTCTGTCCAGCCCCCCAAGAGATCAGGCCACTACCCCCAGGCCCGCGCGTTCTCCTCCCAGCCTAGCCCGACCCATCTGCCCACCCGGGGCCCCGCCCCCGGCCCCGCCCCGCCCCCGGCCCCGCCCCGCCCCGCCGACTCCCAAGAGGCGGTGGACGGGCCAGCGAGACTACAAGTCCCAGCAGGCCCCAGGGCCCGCCCTCAGGGGGCGGGGACACAGCGGCAGCGAATTGGGAGGAGCTCTGGCGCTCAGGCTAGGGAACGCGTGTGACCAATCGCGGGGCCGCTCTCGCTGTGAGCCGATGGGGGCGGGGAGAAGCCCGGCTGGGCCGGGACAAAAGCCCGATCCCGGGTAGCTGCCGGTGGCTGGAGCGCTCCGGATTTTGTGGTGTTCGTCATTCCCGTGGAGCGAGTGCCGCGCACGGACTTTCGCAGAGAGGTGAGCGCGGGCCACTGTTTTCGCTGTCTGGAGTCCGCTCGCCCTAGGAGCTTCCTGCCTCCCTCCCCCAACCCGGAACCGCCTTCCTCGAGGCGGGCTAGGTGCTCACGCGCCCTCCCTGCACCTGCTTGGAAGTTTTGAGGGTCTTAGCTTTAGATTCGCCTTCGCCCGGGGTCCTGGCTGGTGGCCGCGTGTCGACGCTCTCCCCCGCCCCCCCACATTCCAGTTCTTGGGAGTTTGCGCGGGGCTTGCCGCCGTCCTTGCTTTTCCTGCCTCTGCCACATTGCATGGGCCCCCTCCTGGCGCGCCTCACGCCGCCCGGGCACAGCTATCGAGCCTCCTTGGCTGTCTTTTGGCCGCATCCGAGTTCCCCCATCGGATGCTGGGACGAGAAGTCGCGGTGGCGACTGGTCCCACTCCGATCCCTCACTGGCCGGGCTCAGGCCCTTCCCTTGGTTCTGTGGAGACTGGATTGAGCTCCACGCCCAACTGGAGGGAATGAGCTGGGCGCGCCTCCGGAGCGGGCCACGCAGGGCCAGTCTGCCCCAGGATGCCGGAGGCCTCAGCAAGGACTCTTTTCGCACTAGAAGTGCCGTCTAGTCCAACCCCTAAGCGACAGATGGTCGGGGTGCCACCCCACCCTTGAGCTGACGCCAAGACAAGGTCCTCAAGGGGCTGGAGGATGCCGCCGCCGCCCTCCTGTCGAGCCTGGCAATGGGCCAGTCGCAGCGCCTGCCGCCCTCTCCAACCTTGGCAGATACCGTGCAGTGCCAAGTTCTGCCGTTACAGGGTCCCAAGAGGTCTTCCTGGGAAGAGGATTTTGGAAGGGATGATAAGAAGAAGTGCACAGCACGGTTTGGTCAGCCAGCCTACTCCTCTCCCACCCTTAACTTTGCTTTGTGTTTCCAGCCGGCTCAGCTGAACTAAAATATTGGGTGAGGGACAGCTGGTAGGTCCCAGTTGCCCAGAGGGGTGATTTTCACCTCTTAGAAACCTCCCTAAACAGCTTGTGGGGGCGGTAGTGGGAAGAGCCCTTAGACACTGGGCAGCTGATGCCTCCATCCCCATTCTGACACTAATGCCTGCCTTAGTAGGGGGCACTCACAGAATTCTGCCTCTCTAGAACTTACTCCAGAGATTGCCTGTCCTCTCAAATAATAAAAATAATAATTCTCAGCTGGGCGCGGTGGCTTACGCCTGTAATCCCAGCACTTTTGGGAGGCTGAGCCAGGCGGATCACGAGGTCAAGAGATCAAAACCATCCTGGCCAACATGGTGAAACCCTGTCTCTACTAAAAATACAAAAATCAGCTGGTCGTGGTGGTGCAAGCCTGTAGCCCCAGCTCCTCAGGAGGCTGAGGCAGGAGAATCACCTGAACCAGGGAGATGGAGGTTGCAGTGAGCTGAGATCACACCACTGCACTCCAGCCTGGTGACAAAGTGAGACTCTGTGTAAAATAATAATAATTTCCAATCCTGCAGATACTAACCTTCAAATGAGTGTTTTTGTCTTTCCCAGAGGCACCTTAAGTAGCATCCCCAGTGATCCCTTCCACTAGCTGTGTCCCAGGGGTGTGTCCTGGGGAGCAGGCTCCTTTCATTCAGCTTTCTGTGTAGGCTGCTTCTTTCAGTGTCTGCTAAAAGTGAACTCAATCCTGGGTCACTCACCCGTCTGCAGAAAAGACCCCATTCAGCTCATAAGGTCCGTCCCTCAGGGAATGTGTATGTGTGTGTTTTCAGGTTCCTGGGCATGACTTCCCCCAAATGGTTTACAGATTACCTGTTACCAAGTAACAGTTCCCGGAGTCCAAGCTCAGCCCAACCATCTATCACGAATTTGACAGCACATTCAGCTACTGGGGATGCAGACTAAGACTTTTTTTTTTTTTTTTTTTTGAGACAGAGTTTCGCTCTTGTTACCCAGGCTGGAGTGCAATGGCGCAATCTCGGCTCACCGCAACCTCTGCCTCCTGGGTTCAGGCAATTCTCCTGCCTCAGCCTCCTGAGTAGCTGGGATTACAGGCACGTGCCACCATGCCCAGCTAATTTTTTGTATTTTTAGTAGAGACGGGGTTTCACCATGTTGACCAGGATGGTCTCAATCTCTTGAACTTGTGATCCACCCGCCTCGGCCTCCCAAAGTGCTGGGATTATAGGCGTGAGCCACCGCACCCGGCCCAGACTAAGACTTTGAGGGGAGAGGTCCCGAACCCAGACAGGTATTTGTAGGTATTTGCCCAATCCACTAGAGCAAATGTTCTTTTTTTTTTTTTTTTTTTTTTTTTTTGAGATGGAGTCTCACTCTGTTGGCTGGACTGGAGTGGAGTGGCACTATCTTGGCTCACTACAACCTCCGCCTCCCAGATTCAAGGTATTCTCCTGTCTCAGTCTCCCAAGTAGCTGGGATCACAGACACCCACCACCACACCTGGCTAATTTTTTTGTGTGTGTGTGATAGAGTGCTCTGTTACTCTGTCACCAGGCTGGAGTGCAGTGATGAGATCTCGACTCACTGCAATCTCTGACTCACAGGTTGAAGCGATTCTCCTGCCTCAGCCTCCCAAGTAGCTGGAATGATAGGCACAAGCCATTATGCTGGCTAATTTTTGTATTTCTAGTAGAGATGGGATTTCACCATGTTGGCCAGGCTGGTCTCGATCTCCTGACCTCATTGTGATCCACCCACCTGGGCCTCCCAAAGTGCTGGGATGACAGGCGTGAGCCACTGTGCCCTGCCAATAATTTTTGTATTTTAAATAGAGACAGGGTTTCACCATGTTGGCCAGACTGGTCTCAAACTCCTGAGCTCAGGTAATCCGCCTGCCTTGGCCTCCCAAAGGGCTGGGATTATAGGCGTGCCGGCCAATCAAATATTCGTAATTGGTGGTCAGTCTGTGGGCCACCAGATAGTCACAGGTGAGCACCTTGAAACGATGTGCGCAGTTGGATATGTGTACATTTTTCTGGGGTTTTCTTCAGTCTCAGAAGAGTCTGAGACCTCAAAGAGGTTAAGAGCCACTGCCTTAGAGAGACTTTAAGACCTTACTGAACCATTAAAGTTGCAATTTATCTCTACTGAGTCCACTCCCTGGGTTTATGAGCCAGGTGCCTTCTCTGTATTGGTGAATGTGCAGAGGCCCTTTTTTATTCTCTTGTATACATACCTTGTCTCAACCTCCCCTGTTTTAGCCAGAATGCTCTAGTGGCAAATCTCTTGTTTTGGTAAACTGGCAAATCTTGTTTTTTATCCTTTATTGACCCCTCGTATATCTTCTCTCCCATCCCCCTTCCAAAGACCCTATGGAGATGGACTCTTGGACCTGAAATATGATCTGAGTCTCAATAAAATTGTGATTTCTCAGCTGCAGGGGTCCATTTTCTCCTTGTCTTTTCCAAAGTTGGATCTTGTGTCTGTTTTGGAGGTGCCAGGCTCAGGGGACTGTTTTACTGGGAGTGTCAGACTTCTAGAAAGGTGTAAGTCGAGGGACTTCCTTTCTCCTGGAGTTTTGGAAGGAGTCTGAATTGCTGAGGATCATCAGCCATGCCCCCTCCTCTCTGAGTGTGCCTTTATCTGCCCTGGGCTGTACTCTGTTTGGGAGGGGGGTAGGGGGGGTGTACCTATTTAATTTCAGGACCAGTTTTTCTGGTCGGAGTCAAGAAGATTGGGAAATGGAGCAGTGGATGGGAGGTGGAGGACTGTGGGGCAGTGGGGCTGGTCGGGCATCTCTGGAAACTCATATTGAGAAGGAATCTCAAGTCATTCTAGGGGAAGGCCAGAACAGGGAACATCTCCTCTGAGTCCCTTCCTAGCTACCCCACTTTAGGCAGACACCCAGGCGGAATGTGCCCATTGTGTATGCCATGCTGGATACTAGCTGGGAGGCTTACCAGCCAAGCTAGGATTAGAACCCGAAGCCCTACCAGCCTGGCCAATTGGGATGGGGTTGCAAAGTGGCCCCTGGAATGTTGGCCTTCTATGAACTGGGAATGGAGACCCAGCTTCCGTCATATGTAAACCAGCCAGTTCCTTCACTCTGCCCTCCTTTATATATACTGGACTTTTTTCTCCCCTGGCAAATTCAATAGCTTTGCTTCTGAGCCTCAGGGAGACTGGAGTGACTTCCTGATCCAGCCAAGCTCTTGGCCTTCCCCGTTTCCACCTCCCGAATTCCCCTCCCCAGCTCACTCCTTGAGTTACCCACAGGAGAATGGGTGTCTCAGGACAGAGTGGTGGGGAGGGGGGGATGATGAAATTATCATGAACTCTTGGAAGTGAAAAGGACACATGGGCCTTGTTCTTGGAAAAATGGTCTTTTCTTGGGCTGGTGTGGATTTTTCTGGGGACCTAGGCGTATTAGGGTTTGAGTCTCAGGTCACAACCTTGCTTATTATTAGGTGGACTTCTTGGGCAAGTTATCCTAACCCCGCTGAGCTTTTATTCCGCATCTAAGAAATGGGGTTGTAAATCTCAGTGTACCTCCCAGAGCTCATATGAGATGAGTTTCTTTTTATCTTTTTTTAGACACAGGGTCTTGCTCTGACACCCAGGCTAGAGTGCAGTGGTGCAATCATAGCTCACTGTAGCCTCAAACTCCAAGATGAGTTTCCTTAAACATGTGATGGAGGGTGGTTTCTGCCTTTTTCTCCTTCTCCTCCCACTCTGGCTCAGTTAGAAGTGACCGGTACAGGGTGGTCCCCAGAGAGGCCCCTGTTTTGCTTAGTGAGTTTTGGTCTAAATTAGCAGCTGGATGACTCAGTGGAGCGGGTGGGATGTACTAAAGGTCAGTTTCCCTGCCCTGTGTCTGCTTCATACTCGGGGCAGGAGGTCAGTGTCTGGGAGAAAAGAGCTTTGGAGAAAAGAGCTTTGCGATGATCCTCCCCCTCCCCTACTCCCCTCCTAACCAGGAGCTGAGGGTGTGACCCTGCTTGAGGCTAAGTAAACTTGCTGGCTTGGCCAGTGGCCTGGTGGTGTGTAAGGGTATGTGTAGGGGTAAATCTGGGTGCAGGGCAGATGAAACCTGTAGGGAGAAAAAGGCTAGCCTTTTGCAATTTCAGCTGTTCAATGTCTCTGTGCCCACCTCGACGGAACCAGCACTCAGATTTGGGTCAAAGCACTGGTATTCCTGGCCTCCCAGCCACTGCCTTTTGCTCCAGGATGAGTCTGGTTGTGGGTTAGCTAGTTTGCCTAGAGGGAATGGGGCAGGGTGAGGCAAAAGTCCCAGGGCAAATGGCACCTTTGTTTTTCTCTAGCCTCCCTCACCCACTGTCTCGGGATTGTCTTCCTCTGCTGGCAGAAGTGATGCTTGAAATCTCTCTTCCACTCCTCCTGCTGGACAGCATTTTTTCCTTCCTCTTGAGAAAAGCCTGGTTTTCTTATCTGGGGCGACTGGGAGTGGGTCTGCCCTGCTGGAGAAGGTAGCGCCTCCTCATGCCTGCCCCCTCTGACCAGCTCTTCTCCCAAACAGGTAGAGCAGGACCCTCTGCAGCCATGTCGGCCAAGGCAATTTCGGAGCAGACAGGCAAAGAACTGCTTTACAAGTTCATCTGCACCACCTCAGCCATCCAGAATCGGTTCAAGTATGCTCGGGTCACTCCTGACACAGACTGGGCCCGCCTGCTGCAGGACCACCCCTGGCTGCTCAGCCAGGTGAGCCCTGCCTCCACTCTGGGCTGTTCTTCCAGGCCCAGGGTCTGAGGAAGTGAAAGCTGTTGGTTTGTTGGAGACGCCAAGGGGGGTCACAAGGGTTGGAGCCTGCCAGCAGCAGCAGTGGGCAGCGTTGCCATGGGCTGAGCAGGGTTTATCTTCATGCTGAACCCTATATGTTGAGGTAACCCAGCCTGGTATACCCTGCCATGGGCTTGAAACTGTACAAACTGGCGCCTAAACCACAGCTGTATTTATTGACCATGTGGCCTGGGGCAAGCCATTTCACCTCTTTGAGGTTTAGATTTCCCATCGCTCCAATGGGATAATACTGACTCTGAGCTCTAAGAATTAGCAAAGAAGTCTGGAAAGCATTTCGCATGCTTGCTGCCTGGCACATGGTAGATGCTCAGTAAAAAGTAGGTGTGTGCTCTCTCTTCTCCCAAGTGGAGTATATCAGGAGTGTATCAAGGCAATTAGGAAGTGTCACTTTGTACTTTGTGAAGAAGGGCCCTGACCCTGGAGGGTCAGCTTGGAATAGAGGCTCCGTTCTTGAGATCTCTGCAGGGCCATTGTTGGGAAGCACTTAGATTTCTTTGGCAGGGCCCAGAGAACAGGCCTAGGACCAGTGGTGGGGTTTCCTCCCACTAGGAGGCAGCTTAACTGAAAAGGGAGGGAGGGAGGGAGGGAGTTTCCTGGCTCTGGAGATGTATGAGCAGTGGTTAGGGGCTACTTGATGGGCCTTTTGTAGGCAGGGTTCAAGCACAGGGATGGGGTTGACCAGATGACCTCTAAGGCTCCTTGCTGCCCCAAGCCTGTGTCTCTCGGTTCTCCTCTTTGGAACACATGTTCTGGGCCATATTCTGAGGGGCTTACCATTGAATGAAGATGCTAATGTATTACATAGGGAGGGTAGGGAATCACTTATTCACTTAGCAGGTATTTGCTGAGCACCTGCTCTGTGCCAGGCTTCATTTGGGCATGAATGGCTCTAGATACCTGGTTCTCAAAAGAAAGATACTGGCTAGGGTAGGTGGGGGAAGCTTCCAGGAATTGACCTTGAAGGATGGATGGGGCTGGCTTCGGAGCAGAGTGAATGGGAAGTCAATCCCTGCTGTCCTCTACTTTGGGTCCCCAAACTACTACTGTTTATCTAATTCTTCCTCCCTCTAAATACAAACCCCTCTCATTCCAGAACTTGGTAGTCAAGCCAGACCAGCTGATCAAACGTCGTGGAAAACTTGGCCTAGTTGGGGTCAACCTCACTCTGGATGGGGTCAAGTCCTGGCTAAAGCCACGGCTGGGACAGGAAGCCACAGTGAGTGGGTATGGGGTCAGGTTGGACATGTGTGGTAACACAAACAAATACGGTCACCTCCAGGTCAGCAGTTCTGTGGATCACCTCCACAGCCAGTCCCATTGTAGCCCAGGGAAGTCGGGAGTCCTGTGGCACTGACCCACTCAGGTGGCCACCAGCAGCAGGGCCAGTCTTAGTGCCCATGCCCAGCTCCCTCATCAGGACACTGAACTTCTTTGTTTTATTGGTTTGGGCAAGATGTGCTATAGAGGAAACCCCAATATAGTTCAAAAGCCAGGTGGAAATGGTCTGATCCTTTAACAGTGATCATGGAGATGAGGCTCTGAGGCCTCCCACCGCTTTTTTTTTGAGAGGGAGTTTCGCATTTGCAGCCCAGGCTGGAGTGCAGTAGCGCGATCTCATCTCACTGCAACCTCTGCCTCCTGGGTTCAAGTGATTCTCCAGCCTCAGCCTCCTGAATAGCTGGGATTACAGGCATGTGCCAACATACCCAGCTAATTTTATGTTTATATTTCTCCACGTTTGCCAGGCTGGTTTCAAACTTCTGACCTCAGGTGATCCACCCGCTTTAGCCTTCCAAAGTGCTGGGATTATAGGCATGAGCCACCGTGCCAGGCCACTTAAAAGAAATTTTTAGGCTGGGCGCTGTGGCTCACGCCTGTAATCCTAGCACTTTGGGAGGCCAAGGTGGGTGGATCACCTGAGGTCAGGAGTTCAAGACCAGCCTGGCTATCATGGTGAAACCCCATCTTTATAAAAAAAAAAAAAAAAAAAAAAAGAAATTTTTAGTAGAGGTGATGTTTTGCTATGTTGCCTGGGCTGGTGTTGAACTCCTGAGCTCAAGCAATCGTCTTGCCTTGGCCTCCTAAAGTTCTGAGATTATAGACATGAGCAGTCATGCTGGACCTTTTTATGTTTTGGTTTTTACTTTATTTATTTATTTATTTTTTGAGATAGAGTTTCGCTCTTGTTGCCCAGGCTGGAGTGCAGTGGTGGGATCTCTGCCCACCACAACCTCCACCTGTCAGGTTCAAGTGCTTCTCCTGCCTCAGCTTCCTGAGTAGCTGGGATTACAGGCATGCGCCACCACACCCAGCGAATTTTGTATTTTTAGTAGATGGAGTTTCTCTATACTGGTCAGGCTGGTCTCGAACTCCTGACTTAAGGTGATCCACCCACCTCGGTCTCCCAAAGTGCTGGGATTACAGGCGTGAGCCACCGTGCCTGGCCTACTTTATTTTTTTTAAAGACAGGGTCTCACACTGTCAACTGAAGGCTGGAGTGCAGTGGCACATTCATGTCTCACTACAGTCTCCACTTCCCAGCTTCAAGTTATCCTCTCACCTCAGCTTCTTGAGTAGCTGGGACTATAGGTGCATGCCACCATGCCAGGCTGCTTTAAAAAATTTTTTTTGTAGATATGCAGTCTCTCATGTTAACCAGGCTGGTCTCAAACTCCTGGCCTCAGATAATCCTCCTGCCTTAGCCTCCCATGTAGCTGGGACTACAGACATGTGCCACGAAGCCCAAATTCAGTTACTGACTTCTCCCAGCTTGGTGATGAATTTCAACTACATAAATGAGAGAGTTAAAGTGAAACATGGTTAGGAAGGCTAAGAGATACCTGGAAACAAAATTGTATTTTTTTCTTCTCACTCCACAAGGGAGCTGGAGGACTGAGGGAGGGAGTGGGGTTGAGGCCTGGCCTAGCATGGGAAGAATGTGCTGTCCACACCTGGCTCTGTGCACGTGGCTCTAAAGGGCCTGGTGCTCATCTGGATGAAGCTGCACCAGGGATGAGCTCCTTTCTTCCTTAGCTGCCTCGGGAATATCAGTGAAGGTGGTGATGGAGGTATCTTCCTCCCTCATTGGCCTTCTTCAGAGCAGCCCTTAATGTTAATTTCACAGTTTCTGGCCCTCATTGGTAAAAAGAGGTCCTTGAAGTTGCACGTGGACTCAGGCCTGAAGCAACCTGACCCTTGAGTTCCCAGGCCTTTGGAGAGAGGATGATAGGATTGGAGGGAGGGATGCTGAGCACGTCCCCAAGGGAGCACGTCTTGCTTCCTTCTCCTGCTGGCCTCTGGGCGGCGAAGGTGGGGGATGTCAGACATCGGGCCAGCAGGAGCGGCTCATTACCTCTGATGGATTGCTGTCTGGTCCCTGACTCAGCAGTGACGCACAGGACGGGTGGGGGTTTGGAACTTACTGGGATGAGGGCCACGGCCACCGCCAGGGAATCACTCCAGCTGATTAGCTCTGCAGGCGTGTGGTCCTCAGCCAGGAGGGTCTGTGTGGAGAAGTTTCCCTGATTAAGCCCTGGCTCCCCTCCTCCCCCCATTCCCCATGCCTGGACTCATGTCCTGAGGCTGAGTCACTGTGCCTACCTCAAGGCCGACGAACTGGAATGGTCAGCTCTCTCCTACCCAGTTCCCCTCCCCCACAAGCTCTGGCACAGCCTTGACTTGTTGGAGCCCTTTCACTTGGGCAGGTCCTATGTCACCATCCAGAGGAGGCCAGGAGTGGGCAAGGTCGGTGCGTGTTCAGCCACAGCTCGCACCAGAGCAAGGGGCGAAAGGGCATCTCATGAGGACTTACTGAGCTTAGGGATTGCTGACCCCATTTTTTCTGGAAAATTCTGTCTATGCTGGGTGTGATGGTGGGAGTGCTTGAGCACCACCCCTGGGCAATCCCTTCTGCCCTGATGGAAAGACATGCCATCCCTCTGAGTTTCATCTTCTTCAATTTTTCTGTAGGTTGGTAAGGCCACAGGCTTCCTCAAGAACTTTTTGATCGAGCCCTTTGTCCCCCACAGTCAGGTATGTATGAGGCGGCTCCAGGCTGGGTCACTCCCTCCTGGAACTTTGGGTTTGTCTACCGTAACATGAAAGAAGTCAAGCTGATGAGGAAAGTCAGAGGGACCAGGGTCTCTGCAGCTGCACTGAGGATCTGAAGGTGCTGCGGAATCGGGAGTCCAGAGGGGAAGGAAAGGGCTTGGTCTGCAGCAGGGAGGAATTAGGACTAGTAACAAAGTCCAGTGTAGGGGTGAGAAAGACCTCCAGGCAGGACCCATCCCTCAGCTGGGGTCACACTGATTCAGTCTGGACCGTCAGCCAGTGGGGTAGTGGCGGCTTCTCCTTGTCCTCAGGGAAGAGATGGTGCACAAGTCTCTGGGTGAATGTTTTTTACTGAGTTTTAGAAAGCGAGACCATGGGGGTTGGTTTCCTCTCCCAGTACTTGGTAGAACCCCCATCTTCCCCAGTTCAGCACCGCCACCAACCCCACCCCCAACCTCAGTCCCACCACCTTCTCTCTTTACCTGCAAGGCGGAGGAGTTCTATGTCTGCATCTATGCCACCCGAGAAGGGGACTACGTCCTGTTCCACCACGAGGGAGGTGTGGACGTGGGTGATGTGGACACCAAGGCCCAGAAGCTGCTTGTTGGTGTGGATGAGAAACTGAATCCCGAGGACATCAAAAAACACCTGTTGGTCCACGCCCCTGAAGACAAGAAAGAGTTGAGTGAGAGGGACGGTGGGGAGGTGGCAGTTGGGATGAGAAGACTGTTGGGTGCTGGGCGCAGACCAGGGAGAGCAGAGTGGTCTCCTCGCTGGGAGCAGGCGGTAGGCACAGCTTGACCTGAGGAAGACAGCTGGGTGCAGGCTGGGGACTGCCTTGGAACCAGACTGAAATATGCCACCAGCGTCCCTCACCTCCTTGCCCCTGTCTGTCTGGCGCCTCCGCCTCCAGCTTCTTGCCTGACAGCTCCTTTCCGCCTCAGTGGCTGAAGAGCGATGTCCAGGGAGCAGGGGTTGCAGAGCAGGTGGAAGGGCTGGCAGGGTGTGTGTCGGGAAATGGAGCTGTCAGTGGCAGTGAGAGATTGCTTCGGGGTGCCTGGGGTGCTGCCGAGCTGCTCCCTGATGGATCAACTGTCCCTCTCTCCCTCCCTGCTCTAGAATTCTGGCCAGTTTTGTCTCCGGCCTCTTCAATTTCTACGAGGACCTGTACTTCACCTACCTCGAGATCAATCCCCTTGGTAACTGGCTCTGCTGGGGTGGGAGGGGGCAGGGGGCCCAGTGCCTGTGGCAACCCTGGCCTTGGCATTCAGAGAACCAGACTCTCACGGGCCAGAGGGCAACACAAGATAGGGATGCACAAGCAGAGATAGGGATGCACAAGCAGAGGGGCCCCCACGCTCGTTTAGTGCCAGTTCCTGTTCCTGAGCTCTCAGAAGACTCATTTTTCTCTCAGTCAACTCCAGCATCCCTCTTTGGTTTTAACTTGCTCTGAGGTGGGGAAGTCCTGGTTTTTTTTTTTTTTTTTTTTTTTTTGATACAGAGTCTTACCCTGTCGTCCAGGCTAGAGTACAGTGGTGCAGTTTTGGCTCACTGCAACCTCCACCTCCTGAGCTCAGGCAATTTTTTCTGCCTCAGCCTCCCAGTAGCTGGGATTTACAGGTACCCGCCATCATGCCTGGCTAATTTTTGTATTTTTAGTAGAGACGGGGTTTTGCCATGTTAGCCAGGCTGGGCTTGAACTCCCAACCTCAAGTAATCTGCCCTCCTTGGCCTCCCAAAGTGCTGGGATTACAGGTGTTGGGATTAGAGGCATGAGCCACCCTGCCCGGCCGGAAGTCCTGATTTTGGTCTGACTGTGTGCTGCTGCTGCCGCTTCCACCAGGTCAGGCTGTGCTGACAGTAGGAGGTCAACTGCCTCTGCACTGCTCTCACTCTCTGGCCCTTCATTCCTCCCGGGGCACTCAGAGGCCCCACGCTTGCCTCCCCTGTGGGAGCTGGTCAATCATTGACCCTTGATGCTGGGAAGAGCTTGATCTCAGCCTCTTGGGTTGTGAAGGAAGCAGGTGGTGTTGGGGGAGAGTGGCGTGGGCTGGCTCTGGCCAGGCCTTCTCAGGGCAAAGTCCAAGAAGGCGAGAAATCAAATCATTCCAGCTGAGAATGCAGCCCCTCTAATGGACCAGATGGCCTTGTGCTAACTTCATTAGCTAAATGGTCCCGGGGAGGAGGAAGACGGATGTCCAGTGAGGTGATATAAACAAATCCTGTTGACCAGGGTGGTGTGGGAGCCCAGTACCCGCAATGGCTCCCGCTCCACCTGACGCTGAGGCTTCCCCCTGGGAGACTTGGATGTGCATACAGGCGGCGGGGGAAGTGGTCTTCTGTCGGCAACATGTACCTTAAAACAGTTTTTAGTGGCCAGACCATGGGTTTTGCGCATGGTTAGATACTCAGGAAGTGTAGCATTTTGGAAAAATGTTTGCAAATTGCCGTGGCAACTAATAACAGACCTCTATGTCGCATTACCTGTAGGTCAGGGAGAGGGGAATGGTCTTGTAGTATTTGTTTTGCCTTTCATGGGGAAATGCTCTGTCTCTAATAAGTGCCACTCTGGTTTCTTACTGAGTTTAGAGAGTTCTGACACCTGAATGGGTCACTGTGGGAGTGGTATTTGCGGAGGGCTTGGAGGTTGGTAGTCGTCTCTTCCCAGAGCCGGTGTCTGATGATTGTCTCGGGAGTGGTGTTTGTGGAAGGGTTGGAGGTTGGTGGGTGTCTGATGATTGCTTCCGCTCCTCTCGAAGTAGTGACCAAAGATGGAGTCTATGTCCTTGACTTGGCGGCCAAGGTAGACGCCACTGCTGACTACATCTGCAAAGTGAAGTGGGGCGACATCGACTTCCCTCCCCCCTTCGGGCGGGAGGCATATCCAGAGGTAAGGCTGGTTTAGAGGGGAGATGGGGACTGGGGGGAGGCCAGGGGGAGGTGACTCATCTCTGGTGTGCATTTGGCCCCCCTTCATGAGCTGTTTATTTGGCAGGGAAAAGAAGACCAAGAAGCATTTAATTTTCTTAAAACCCCAATGGGGTAGGGGGTGGGAGTGAGCCAAGCCTCTGAATCCCAGCCAGAAATCCTTTTAGACTTCTCTCTCAATCAGCCTCCCTCGGCCCTTCACTTGATTTGTTGCCTTTCCATGATTGCAAGTGGCTCCCCCCTAATCCTGATGTAAGGTCGTTCTCTCGGCTGCTCACTGAGAATTTTAATTGCCCCTTCTCACCCTGTCCTCCGATAAGTCCTCACAGCAGGGTCAGGTTTTCTGGGAAGTACCCCAGGCTCAGGGAAGAGGCTGGGCGGGGAGACAGTCTGGCCTGGGGAGACTGGGGGTGGCGTGTGATGGGCTGGGCAGGCAGATGCTGGGGTGAGGGCATGGTCAAGCAGAGGGACACGGTGAGGCTCAGTTTAGGCAGAGGGCCAAGGACTTGACGTCAGAGAAGGGATTTGGGAAGTTTGTCCCTGGGCAGTGACGGTGACTATGGGTGGTTTTGATACTTATAGACACCATCAAGTGTCTTCAAGGCATGTGGGGCCCTGCACAGTCCCTTCTTCCCACCCTGTTATGGTGACTAATGGCCTCTTCATGTGCCTCCTGGGAATGCAGGGAGGGGTCCTAAGATCTGGGACCTGGTAAAGGGGGCACCCCACTAAGGGCCTATCTTGCTCTCTGGTCCCTAGGAAGCCTACATTGCAGACCTAGATGCCAAAAGTGGGGCAAGCCTGAAGCTGACCTTGCTGAACCCCAAGGGGAGAATCTGGACCATGGTGGCCGGGGGTGGCGCCTCTGTCGTGTACAGGTGACTGAAGGGGGCTGCTGAAGGAATGCCAGCCTGGTCTACCCAGCATCCACTTGTGTGTGACCTGGGTGGGTGGGGTCCTGCCACTTTGGTGTGGGAATTTGGGGCAGAGGAAAGCAGTAGCATCCTAGAGGGCTTTGAGGGACTTTGGCGAGGGCATGCCCTGCACACGGTGTCTCCTGTAACCTTCTCGTTTGCGTGAAAATGAAGCTGTTTTATGAGTTTTAATTCTGATAATTATGTGCTCCATGCAGAGGTAGAGCAAATAGAGAAAATGAACTAGAAAGTGAAAGTTGCCTGGCCATTTCCTTATCCTCTCCCTGACCAGGTCACCCCAATTAGCAAGCTACTGTATATCCTGTCAAGCATATGTAAATGTTTACATTCTTGCTTTATAGAAATGTTAGGATCATATTCTACACCCTTTAAAATAATTAGCAGTCTTCCCTTCAAGCATGGTAGACGCCTGCTCGTTTCTAGATGTGTGATCTGCCATTCCCTTCTGTGCATCACACCTTCTCTTGGGCCCTGTCAGGGACCCCTTCAGGGTGTGATTTTTCTTGTCTTTGTGTTAGGGAGGTGCTCATTATTCATTTTACCTGCCATTGTCTGTCTGGGGCTCCCGAGTGCCCTGGGGCAGGCAGAGTGTATTGCTCAGAAGAGTCTGATGTAGCACCGCCAACCTGCAGGCCAGAATCGCATGGGAGCTGGGGGCTGGGGGTCCAAGAGGCCGGTTCCACAGGCTGACTCCAGTGTTCTGAGGGATCTGCATGTCCTCCCAGGCACCAGGCTGCCATCCCCTGCCCCAAGTCTGAGAGCCATCACTGACCTCTGTGTCTCCTTGGCAGCGATACCATCTGTGATCTAGGGGGTGTCAACGAGCTGGCAAACTATGGGGAGTACTCGGGCGCCCCCAGCGAGCAACAGACCTATGACTATGCCAAGACGATCCTCTCCCTCATGACCCGAGAGAAGCACCCAGATGGTGAGATGTGCGCGCGCGCGCGCACACACACACACACACGCACACACACACACCTGCCCCCACTCTCCCAGGACAGCCCAGTGTGCTGCAATGGGACAGCTTTGTCCGAGGAGTCACCAAGGCTGTGTGTCGTCCTGGTTCTTTGCAACTTGAGGCTAATAATTGAATTTTTGGCTCTTGGTTTCTCTTACTGCACAGAGGGCAGGGAGCACATCTGTCCATGGGAAGGGACTGAGAGGGTAAGAAGCAATGTGTGATAAAGCCCTGCAGACAAGTGCAGGGAGGAGGTGGCTGTGGCATGCTCCTGCTCCGATTGTAGTAAACTCAGTTTATCTGATTGTGATAAACTCTGATTGCAGTAAATTCAGTTACCCTCTTATATTACCTGGCCTGTGTGATTCTCAGCACCCGTTTACCACCTGCCTGGATTTTTGGGTGTCGGTTAGGAGTTACGTAGCGCTCCTATGGGTTTGTTCTGACCACTGTCTGGTGGCATAGGTAATGAGAGTTGAGCTGATAAAGTGGAATGTCTGGAGAGACTATCCTGCTCACTCCCCAGTACCTCCTAGCAGATGGGGGACCCTCATTCAGAGGAACAAGAACTTCCTCAGTTGGATTTCCGGAAAGATGCTCAGGTCTACCTCTGTAACTGTTTTTGATTTCTCTCTTACTCTAAATCCAGGCAAGATCCTCATCATTGGAGGCAGCATTGCAAACTTCACCAATGTGGCTGCCACGTTCAAGGTAACAGCTGCAGCAGTGGTGCAGTTTCTGGGAAAAGCGGGTTTGGGGAAAGCAGGGAAGGGGCCTTGAAGGCAGAGTTTGAGGCTGGGCGCAGTGGCTCATGCCTGTAATTCTAACACTTTGGGAGGCTGATGCGGGTGGATCACCCGAGGTCAGAAGTTCGAGACCAGCCCGACCAACATGGCGAAACCCCATCTCAACTAAAAATACAAAAATTAACCAGGCGTGGTGGCACATGCTTGTAATCCCAGCCACTTGGGAGGCTGAGGCAGGATAATCAGTTGAACCCGGGAGGCAGAGGTTAGGGTGAGCCGAGATCGCGCCATTGCACTCCAGCCTGGGCAACAAGAGTGAAACTCCATCTCAAAAAAAAAAAGAAAGTGGAGTTTGAGCCAGAGCCAAGTTACCATGAGTTACCCAGGTCAGGTAGGGGGCTCTTGTCCCAGGATCTCTTACGGGGGTGGAGAAAACATTGGGACAGTACCTGTGCGTCTGAAGCTGTGTGTCTGGGAAACATAATGAGACCTCATCTCTACTAAAACTAAAAAAAAATTAGTGGGTTGAAGCCGGAGGATCACTTGAGCCCAGGAGGTGGAGGTTGCAGTGAGCTGCGCTCACGCCACTGCACTCTGGCCGACAGAGCAAGACTTTGTCTCAAAAAAAAGAAGAACTATAAAAAAAACTGTTCCCGCACATCACTTAAGAAGCTTTCATAGGACACTGGCTATGTCTTAGTACCTCTGAGAACCCTTGCATAGGGCCCAACGTAGATATCCCCACCAAAAAAAGTTGTAGTAAGAGGGACTAATGACTGTAGATGGGACAAGAGAGAAACCAGCAAGGCCTTGAGGAGGCCTGGAGCACCATGACATAAAGGGGTGTCAATCCCCGGTACCCCACCTTCCCAACTCAGTGGTGTTGTGAGTGATCATGTCACAGGCCTTTGGGTGCTGTACATAGTCCCATGCTTCCTGAGGAGTAGCCCTTGTCACATACACCTGGTCCGTTTATTTCTCATGGTTATAAATCATTGACTTGTTGCTACCTTGTATTTAGTCATATGTCTCTGTTGTTCCTTTGGGCTTCCAGGGCATCGTAAGAGCGATTCGAGATTACCAGGGCCCCCTGAAGGAGCATGAAGTCACAATCTTCGTCCGAAGAGGTGGCCCTAACTATCAGGAGGGCTTACGGGTAATGGGAGAAGTCGGTAAGATGGGGACCTTTTCTCTCCCTCTCACTCTGAGTGTGGGTGGCCTTCCTCCTTGGGATTCCTGATTCCCAAGTATCAGTCTTGGGCTCTCTCGCTCTCCACTCCCCTTCCTGGGTAGGCAGTTAGGGTTACCATTCCGTGTCCCAACACAGAGTATTATCCTAAACTTTGGAATGGTCAGGAAAGCATTTTCATTCAGCTCTGCACTTAATACTTATTAAAGACCACTTGTGGCCGGGCGTGGTGGTTCATACCTGTAATCCCAGAGGCTGAGGCGGGTGGATCGCCTGAGGTCGGGAGTTTGTATCTAGCCCTACCAATGTAGTGAAACCCGGTCTCTACTAATAATACAAAAAAAAAATTAGCTGGATGTGGTGACGGATGCCTGCAATCCCAGCTACTCAGGAGGCTGAGGCAGGAGAATCACTTGAACCTGGGAGGTGGAGTTTGTGGTGAACCAAGATCAAGCCATTGCACTCCAGCCTGGGCCACAAGAGTGAGACTCCGTCTCAAAACAAAACCAAAAACCGCTTGCCTTATGCTGGTCACGAGGGTTACAACCACAAACAGGACAGACAGCAAGCCATCATGGAATGGAGGACGCAGACTGCGATGTCAGGGGGTGGCAAGTGCCAGGGGAAAACAAAACAGGGAAAGGGAGAATGTGTGGTGTGGGAAGGGATAGGGCAGCCTTCAACAGGGTGATCAGAAAATGCTTGATCAAGGCCAGGCATGGTGGTTCACGTGCTCTGGGAGGCTGAAGTGGGTGGATCCTTTGAGCTCAGGAGTTCAAGACCAGCCTGGGCAACATGACGAGACCCCGTCTTTACAAAAAAAAATACAAAAATTAGCTGGTTATGGTGGCACACATCAGTAATCCTAGCTACTTGGGAGGTCAAGGCTGCAGTGAGCTGTGATCATGCCACTGCACTCTAGCCTGGGCGACAGAGTGAGACCCTGTATCAAAAAAGAAAACTGACTTTTGAGCAAACACCTGGAGTGAGGGAGCAGCACCACGGTGACTCTTGCAGAGGGAAGGGCAAGTTCCAAGGCCCTGCAGTGGTAAGGCGCTGGAGCTGAGAGAGAGAGGCAGCAAGACACTACAGGTCCCAGGAGCGCTTAGCCATCACTCTGAGACAGCCGGCACAAGAGGTGTTTAAGCAGAACCACCACATAATTTTTTTTTTGAGACAGTGCCTTGCTCTGTTACCCAGGCTAGAGTGCAGTGGTACCATCATAGTTCACTGCAGCCTCAACCTTGTGGGCTCAGGTGATCCTCCTGCCTCAGCCTCCTAAGTATTGGGGACTACTGGATGACCACTACCACACCACTCCTGGCCTCAAGTGATCCTCTTGCCTTGGCCTCCCACAATGCTAGGATTATAGACATGAGCCACTACAACCAGCCAAGTGACACAATTTGACTTAGGTTTGAATTGAATAGGGTTAATTTTTTTTTTGTTGCTCTTTTGAGACAGGGTCTTACTCTGTCACCCAGGCTGGAGGGCAGTGATGTGATCACAGCTAACTACAACCTCTGCCTCCCAGTCTCAAAGGATCCTCCCACCTCAGCCTCCTGAGTAGATGGGACTACAGATGCATGCCACAATAAATACACAATTTTTGTACAGATAATTAGCACACTCCTGGCTAATTTTTTGTAGGCGAGGTTTCGCCATGTTGCCCAGGCTGGTTTTGAACTCCTGGATTCACCCGATCTACCCACCTAGGCCTCCCAAAGTGTTGAGATTACAGGCATGAGCTTTTTCTTTCCTTTTTTTAAATAAAGCTGGTTCACAGTTGAGGGCCTGCTAGGTACAGTGGGTTAGGCTCAGGGACAGCACAGTGAAGTTTACCAAATGATGTTTTTAAAATTAGAACATTCAGGCAGGGCTCGGTGGCTCACACCTATAATCCTAGCTCTTTGGAGGCTGAGGTGAGTGGATCACCTGAGGTCAGGAGTTCAAGACCAACTTGGTGGTCAACATGGTGAAACCCTGTCTTTACTAAAATACAAAAATTAGCTGGGAGTGGTGGCGCATGCCTGTAATCCCAACTACTCGGGAGTCTGAGGCTCAAGTGATCTTCCCACTTGAGCCTCAGCCTCAAGCCTCCTCCCAAGGAGAATCGCTTGAGCCTGGGAGGTAGACACTGCAGTGAGCCGAGATCGCATCCCTGCACTCTAACCTGGGCGACAGTCTGTCTCAAAAAAAAAAAAAAAAATTTAGAACATTCCAAAAGTGAACAGTAGGAGAAGATGCTAGGGGTCTGTCTATACAAGGAGGAGGAGAACATGACATGGGATAGAGTGACCGTCAAGGTCAGAGGGGGTCTTTTCTCAGGAGGTGGTGCTTGGGTTGAGCTGGGAGACCAGAGAGCAGCCAGGCGAAGCTCCATATGAGCTCCATGCAGAGGAAGGAGCAGGGCCAGTCTGCTGGAGGAATGGGCTCAGGATGTTAAGAGAGACGAGGCGCTGGTGTATGCGTGCAGTGAGGGCTAAGGAAAGCTGGAGAGCTGGGGTCCAGGCTGTGAACAGGAATACGGGCTCTGATAATGCATTTGGTTACTTGAATCTTGCCAGTAAGTAAATCTGTTTCTTTTTTTTTTTTTTTTTTTTTTAGACAGTGTCTTGCTCTGTCACCCAGGCTGGAGTGTGCAGTGGTGCAATCTTGGCTCACTGCAACTTCTGCCTCCCAGATTCAAGGGATCCTTCTATCTGAGGCTCCAAGTAACTGGGAGTATAGGCATGTGCCACCATGCCTGGCTAATTTTTTTGTGTTTTTAGTAGAGATGGGGTTTTACTACATTAGCCAGGCTGGTCTTGAACTCTTGACCTCAAGTGATCTGCCTGCCTTGGCCTCCCAAAGTGCTGGGATTACAAGTTTGAGCCACTGCGTCCGGTCTGTTTCTTGTTCTTGTTATCAGCAAGCGGCGTTTAGAAAGATTTGTCTGGTGGTGAAATTATGACAGCTGATTTGTCCTGGATATTGGTCTTGCACTGAATGCGCTAGACACTGATCCTGGCTGTAAAGGGCCTTTGCAGGGTCACATGGACTTGGGTGCTTATCTGAAGACTGGAATAATGGATTTTTTTTTCTTTCCCTTACAGGGAAGACCACTGGGATCCCCATCCATGTCTTTGGCACAGAGACTCACATGACGGCCATTGTGGGCATGGCCCTGGGCCACCGGCCCATCCCCAACCAGCCACCCACAGCGGCCCACACTGCAAACTTCCTCCTCAATGCCAGCGGGAGCACATCGGTAGGTGCCAGCCTCGCCCAACCTCACAGGAAGGAACCATCTCATACTTTCCACCAGGATGTAGTCCTCCTCCTTTGTTCTTGGGGGCAAAGAGGAAATACAGTGGAAGTTAGTGCATAGTTGGGTTCTGGATCTCTGCCAATTTTTTTCCTGCTCTGATCAAAGTAGTATAATGGAAGGAACAAGAATTTAAAAATTGGATCCAAGTTCAAATTGTGGCCGGATGTGGTGGCTCACGCCTGTAATCCCAGCACTTTGGGAGGCCGAGGTGGGCGGATCACCTGAGGTCAGGGGTTCGAGACCAGCCTGGCCAACATGGTGAAACCCTGTCTCTACTGAAAATACAAAAATTTGCCGGACATGGCGGCACATGTCTATAATCCAAGCTACTCGGAAGGCTGAAGCGTGAATATCATTTGAACCTGGGAGGCAGAGGTTGTAGTAAGCTGTGATGGCGCCATTGCCCTCCAGCTCTGGGCAACAGAGCAAGGCTTCGTCTCAAAAAAAAAAAGAAAGAAAAAGTTCAAATCATTACTCTCTTACTTTTTGCTGAGGGAGCAACCTTAGCCAGTATCTTACCTACTCAGGGCCTCAGTTCGCTTGTCTGTTACATGGGATAATATTAATTAGTGTCTCATCGGATTGTTAGAATAGTACTTTTAGAAGCAGCTTATAAAGAGAATTGCTGTGCATAATTTTTATTACCAGTTTTCTTTGGGGCCTTTAAGGACCGTGGGTTTTTTCCCAGCTGTGGCTCTTACCTCTTATTCTCCTTGTCTTACCCCAGACGCCAGCCCCCAGCAGGACAGCATCTTTTTCTGAGTCCAGGGCCGATGAGGTGGCACCTGCAAAGAAGGCCAAGCCTGCCATGCCACAAGGTAACTCCCTGAGGCTTTGGGCACGTTGCAGGGAGTGGCCCTCAGGTACCCTCTGTATCTCTCCCCTTTCCCTGTCCCCCCCAGGCTGGCAGAAGCGGATGAAAAGTGGTTTGGGTTTTGCTATGGGAGAGGGCCTGGGACGTGAGGATGGGATGACTGGGTGCTCCTGAGGCTGAGGACCCAGCTGTGCCTGGTCGCCTCGATTCCCCCTATTCTCTTCTACCGCTGTTCTTCTTATGGAGGTGTGACCTAGGCAGGAAGGCTGTGGAGGAGATAGGGTTACCGAAATTCTAGGAAGTGGGAAGTTCTCTGAGACTCTTCTCCTGAGTGGAGGGCAGATGCCGGGAGCCCAGGACAGCAGAGCCAGCTCCTGTGACAGCAGTTCCTAACCTACCCCCACCATCTTGGGGCCCTAACAGACATTCCCTCCCCTGAATCCCCTGCAAGAGAAGCCTTTGCCTGCCAGCACATCTGGACTTCAACTCATTTTCTCTCCATGTGATTGTAATTCCTGCTGGTCAGCCCTTGTGGCCAGCTCTACATAAGTGGTGTTAGTTACCCCTGGGCTGGTGTAGCCTATGCAGCCTCTTCCTGGGACACACTTTGCTTACAGCATTTTGGGAAATAGTGACACTGGCCCAAATCGGCATCTTTGTCCACAGCACAGGTCAACCCCATGCTGGCCAGTCATCTTATAGTGTATTGTGGAGACAAGAAGGGATTGGCGTTAAGAGGGTGGAACCCGGCCAGCTAGAGAGCCCAGAGTACAAGTCCTCCCGCTGTGCCTGCAGAGGGCCTGGGGGAGGCGCTGGTGTTGAGCACACCTGCCCAGCCTTCGTCCTCCTCCTGCCTCCTCTCTGCCCCTTTGGTCTTCGCTCTTTCTTGCTTCCATTCTGCTCCTCCGTGCTTTCATCTCTTCTGCTGGCCCTACTCCTCCATCCTTTGCAGAACAGGAGAGAGATGGTGAGGGCTTTAGCCCTGAAAGACTTGTCCATGGGACCCTTCCCTGTTCCCACCCTTTCCCTCCAAAGCCTCCAGCCATCAGTGGGTCACTCAGTTGCCTTGGTCATTTTCTTTGACAGATTCAGTCCCAAGTCCAAGATCCATGCAAGGTAGGTTGCCCTCACCCTGCCCCCACTCCGCGTGTGGCTTCGTTAGCGGGTAACAGTTTTACCGTGTGCTCTGTTTCCCTCTCCCCTGGTGGGTTGCAGTGTTGTCTGGTCTATTTTCTGTCCCTGCCTTGATGTGGCCTGACCCCAAGTCCTAAGTCTTGGCTCATCCTCCCCTCTACCCCTGCTCAGTACACATCCCACTCAGTACTCTCCTCACCGTGTGGCTGTTTCTGGCTCCGAGCTTGGGAGGGGGTAGAGACTTTGGAAGGAGCGAGAGCCAGACCCACAGCCCTGGAGAGTGGAGTGGTTTCAAGGAGGGAGTGTTGCCTGGGAAGGTGGGGGCCATCCAACCGAAAGGGGAGTGGCAGTTGAGGCTGGGGTGCAACAGAGGAGCCACAGGTCACACCCCTGATTCTCATATACCTCTGATGTCATTTTCTCACCTTTCCTGCCTCAGCTTCACCACTGCCAGCTTCATCCGCAAGCTCCAGGGACTAGTTTATCTTTTTCTGGGGTTGAGGTGGAGGAGGAGGTAGACAGAAGTGCAGAAGGGTGTGCAGTGGATCTGGAGACTGGGTAATTGGAAGGGCAATGAGCTTTGTCTGGCGGATGAGGTCACATTTTACAATGGACACTTCTGTGTGTGCACATTCACCCAGTGGACTAGCTGAATAGATTAATTGCTTCATAGCATCAGAGCTTCCATTTAACTTTGACATTCACAGCCATGGAGGCAGGGAAGTCTTTGTTGTCCCTTTGCTAAGGGGAGGGGAAGGAGTAACTGGCAGGGTTGATAACCAGCTGGAAAGGTCTGGAATGTAGCCCTTAGGCCTCCTGGCTTTAATCCTGATGTGTTTGCCTCTGGAAAGATCCATTGTTACCTAAAAGTGAAGAGCAGAGTAAGTTTGGTGTGGAAAGAATAGGGACCAGGCCTGGTTCTCCAGGAGCTCTTCCGTGTGCTGAAGGTGAGGAGGGTTATGAAGGGGGTTTATTTTTGTTATTTTCTGGAGTGTGAGAAATAAAAGGAAGATGTGTCAGGGAGGGAGAGCAAATTATGGCCGAGCGAGCTCTCTCCTCATCGAGGCCAGAGAAGGCCTGGTTGGGGGAGTACAGCTCTTGGCACAGAGGTTCTTTCTGGGGCCTCCTTGCTGCTGGTGGGCTGAGGATACACCCTTTAGCTTGGGTTCCTCTGTGCTTGAAGAAGGGCCACTCTACCTCCGCCCTTTCCTGCTGGAGATGCTGGTAGGTTTGTAGATTCCAGACTTTGTCCTGATTTCTGTACTGGTGGGGTAGATAGATGAGAGGCATGTGCACGTGCGTCACCTGTTGGGGGTGACATGATGCAGGTTCCCCTGAGGATGGCCGGTCGTGATCTAACACTTACATTCTCCCTCCTCACTTTCACAGTTGAGCTGCATTTTAAGTGATTAAGTAAATGGCTCTGATGCTGGATGACCTAGGACCTCAGTCATTTTGCATCTCTGGGCTTCAGTTTCCGGGGACTGGGAAGTGAGAGAACTGGATTAGGTGGCTTCCCTTGTTCTATGATCTCATGTCTCAGCAGAACCCAGGTGGGTCTAGGTGACAGTAAATCAGGTATTTGCAACATCAGGAGGCTTCTGTCATGAGAAGCTTAAGGCTATGATGGAAGAGACGGGCCTGTACAGAGATTTAATCAGACCATGACCTTAGTTAGCCAAGCCTGCTCGAGTACAGAAGGTTAATTAATACCAGATGCCACTGGGCTAGATGTGTCATTCTCCCCAGAGGAGCTCAGAACCTTCCTGAGGGCTGCTTTCCTCCACTTGGACTTGCAGGGACCCAGAGGGAAGGTCAGCTGCCTGAAGCGTGGTTTTTTTTTTTTTTTTTTTTTTTTTTTTGAGACGGAGTCTCGCTCTTGTTACCCAGGCTGGAGTGCAATGGCGCGATCTCGGCTCACCACAACCTCCGTCTCCTGGGTTCAGGCAGTTCTCCTGCCTCAGCCTCCTGAGTAGCTGGGATTACAGGCATGTGCCACCATGCCCAGCTAATTTTTTGTAGTTTTAGTAGAGACGGGGTTTCACCATGTTGACCAGGATGGTCTCGATCTCTCGACCTCGTGATCCACCCGCCTCGGCCTCCCAAAGTGCTGGGATTACAGGCTTGAGCCACCGCGCCCGGCTGAAGCGTGGTTAGAGTCCTTTCCCTTGAGACTAGGACTGCACTTTTAATTTTTCAAATATACTTGCTGCATTAAAACTTTCTTTTTTGTTTTTGTGGGTATGTAGTAGGTGTATATATTCATGGGGTACATGAGATATTTTGGTACAGGTGTGCAATGCATAATAACATCATAGAAATTTTTTTTTTTTTTTTTTTTTTGAGATTGGGGGTCTCACTATGCTGCCGAGGCTGATTTTGAATTCCTGGGCTCAAGCGATCCTCCTACCTCAGTCTCCTAAGTAGCTAGGACTCCAGCAAGCACCACTATGCCCCCCTAGAGAAGTGCACTTCTACCAGCTTCTTTTGTTCCCTTACCTTTTTTTGTATGTGTGTGAGACAGGGTCTCTGTGACCCAAGCCAGAGTACAGTGGCACAGTCTTGGCTCACTGCAGCCTCCACCTCCTGGGTTCAAGTGATTCTTGTGTCTTGGTTTCCCAAGAAGCTGGGATTACAGGCACATCCCACCATGCTAATTTTTTGCATTATTTTTATGAGATGAAGTCTCGCTCTGTTACCCAGGCTGGAGTGTAGTGTCACAATCTTGGCTCACTGCAACCTCCACTTCGTGGGTTCAAGCAATTCTCCCTGCCTCAGCCTCCTGAGTAGCTGGGATTTCAGGCACCCACCACCATGCCTGGCTAATTTCTGTATTTTTAGTAGTGACAGGGTTTCACCATGTTGGCCAGGCTGGTCTTGAACTCTTGAGCTCAGGTGATCCACCCGTCTTAGCCTCCCAAAGTGATGGGACCACAGGCGTGAACCACTGCACCCGGCCTAGCCTTATCTCTTAAGGAGGGCCTATCCAGGAGCACTGTCCAGAGCAGGAAAGAGCCACCTGATAGAAGGGAGAGGACAGGAAAAACAGGAGAGCAGGTTGGGGGCACCTGTGCTGTGTGACCAGCTTGCTGCTCCTGGCTTGTGCAGAGCTGTGGCCAGAACCGCAGTTAACGATAAGGCTGCCATGTCCTCAGCCTCCGCTATAGCAAATCTTTTCATTGACCTAGAATTCATGATGATTCAAACCCTGACTGGATCTGGCTTTATGTCCAGGTTTACAGGGTGATAAGCATTGTTGGGACATCGTTTATTAGTCCTGAGACCACCAAAATTGGAAGAGCTAAACATTTTTTCCAATGACCTTACAAGTAATTCATCAGATCATGCTCAGTGGCTCATGCCTGTAATCCTAGCACTTTGGGAGGCCAAGATGGGCGGAGCATCTGAGGTCGGGAGTTCAAGACCAGCCTGACCAACATGGAGAAACTCCATCTCTACTAAAAATACAAAAATTGGCCAAGTGCAGTGGCTCACACCTGTAATCTCAGCACTTTGGGAGGCCAAGGTGGGCAGATCACGAGATCAGGAGTTCAAGACCAGCCTGACCAATATGGTGATACCCCATCCTTACTAAAAATACAAAAATTAGCCCGGCATGGTAGCACGCACCTGTGGTGCCAGCTACTCAGGAGGCTCAGGCAGGAGAATCACTTGAACCCGGGAGGTGGAGATTGCGGTGAGCTGAGATCGAGCTATTGCACTCCAGCCTGGGCAGCAAGAGTGAAATTCCATCTCAAAAAAAAAAAATTGTCAAAACTTCATTTGCATATAAGCTGACGACACACCTTGGCTGTGAAATGAAGCAGGTCCTTTAGGAATTCTCCTGGGCATCTTTGACTGTGGGGCCCTTCTTTCTCTGTTACTTACAGAGCTACTTACCAGCTAGACAGGCCCTCTTAGCTTGATTTGCTCTCTCTACCACCTTCTTCCAGAAAAATCGAGTTACCTCCTCCCCAAGTTCTCAGAATTCTGTCCTCTTGACCTTCCTTTACGGTTGTGATGAACCATCATCCTGTGGACCTGGGGTGTGGAGGGATCTGGCAGGCAGCGCTTGCCCCTGCAGGTCTCCCGGGGGTGTGTGTTCTGGGTGCACTCTCTGTGTCTTTGCCCACTAGGAAAGAGCACTACCCTCTTCAGCCGCCACACCAAGGCCATTGTGTGGGGCATGCAGACCCGGGCCGTGCAAGGCATGCTGGACTTTGACTATGTCTGTTCCCGAGACGAGCCCTCAGTGGCTGCCATGGTCTATCCTTTCACGTGAGTGACCCCCTTGGGGGAAGCATCTCCTCCCTCTGCAGAGACAAAGCTTGGGGCTGATGCCTGTAATCTTTGCAGTTTAGGGGGTTGAGGTGGAAGAATTGCTTGAGCCCAGGAGTTTGATCAGCCTGGACGACATAGGGAGACCCCTATCTCTACAGATAATTTAAATATTAGCCAGGTGTGGTAGTGTATACCTGTGGTCCCAGCTACTTGGGAGGCTGAGGCAGGAGGACTGCCTGAGCCTTGGAGGTTGAGGCTGCAGTTAACCCTGCTTATGATACTACACTCCAGCCTGGGTGGCAGAGCAAGACCCTGTCTCAAAGGGGAAAAAAAAAAAAGGCAAGGCTTGGGGAGTCAGTGAGCTCGCTCCCTTTGCTGGGGAAGGCTTTGCCCATCTCAGAGACAGGGGCAGTCAGTATTCCTTGGGGGTCTTTGTCCCTTAGATGAAAATTCTTTGAGGGCAGAGACCATGCCTTTTCTACCTTTTAGGTGACGTCCTTTCCCTCAGCTTCCCCTTCCCCAGTCCTGACAGACTGAGGATGTTCTAATTCTTCTTTTACCTTCTCACAGTGGGGACCACAAGCAGAAGTTTTACTGGGGGCACAAGGAGATCCTGATCCCTGTCTTCAAGAACATGGCTGATGCCATGAGGAAGCACCCAGAGGTAGATGTGCTCATCAACTTTGCCTCTCTCCGCTCTGCCTATGACAGCACCATGGAGACCATGAACTACACACAGGTAGATCACTGGGCGCTAGCGGGGGAAGGCGGGGGAAGCAGGAAAGGCTTCTGAATGATGTCCTCAGTCACTACTGCCTGAGAAAAAGGGCTGGGGATTTGGGAGTAGCCAGTGGTTTGGGTGGAAATGGTTGGAGACACATGATCTTCAGAAGTCAGGATAGTGACCCAGGGCAGGTCAATCCAGGCAGTGGCTGCTTACCTGGGCTTATAAAGAGGCAGCTCAGGCTGGGTACAGTGGCTGATGCCTGTAATTCCAGGACTTTGGAAGGTGAGGCAGGAAGATTGCGTGAAGCCAGGAGTTCAAGATTGGCCTAAGCAACAAAGCTAGACGCATTCTCTACCAAAAGTTTAAAAATTAGTCAAGCCAGGCATGGTGACTCGCGCCTGTAGTCCCAGCTACTCAGGAGGCTGAGGCAGGAGGGTGGGTTGATCACCCAGGAGTTCAAGGCTGCATTTAGTTATAATCATTTCATGGCACTCCAGCCTGGGTGGCAGAGCAAGACCCTATCTCTAAAAAAAATAAAGTAAAATAAAATACAGGCTGGGCGTGGTAGCTTATGCCTGTAATTCCAGCACTTTGGGAGGCCAAGGCAGGAGAAATGCTTGAACCCAGGAGTTTGAGACTAACAAAGCAAGACCCTGTCCCTACAAAACATTTTTAAAAAAAATTAGTTGGGGCCGGGCGCGGTGTCTCACGCCTGTAATCCCAGTACTTTGGGAGGCCGAGGCGGGTGGATCACGAGGTCAAGAGATCGAGACCATCCTGGTCAACATGGTGAAACCCCATCTACTAAAAATACAAAAAATCAGCTGGGCATGGTGGCGCATGCCTGTAATCCCAGCTACTCAGGAGGCTGAGGCAGGAGAATTGCCTGAACCCAGGACGCGGAGGTTGCAGTGAGCCGAGATTGCGCCATTGCACTCCAGCCTGGGTAACAAGAGTGAAACTCCGTCTCAAAAAAAGAAAAAATTAGTTGGACATGGTGACATGTACTGGCTGAGGCAGGATGATCACTTGAGCCCAGGAGGTCAGGGGTGCAGCGAGCTGTGATCATACCACTGCACTTCAGCCTGGGCAACAGAGTGAAGTCTGTCTGTCTGTCTGTCTGTCTGTCTCTCTCTCTCTCTCAGAGTGAGAGTCTTTCTCCCTCTCAATAAATAAATAAGTGAATAGATGGTAAATAAATAAATAAGGTGGCTCAGGCTCTACCCCACCCTCACTATATCCTCTCTACTATCCATAACTGGCTTGAAAACTGGGACTGGCTGGATGCCATGACTTGTACCTATAATCCCAACACTTTGGGAGGCTGAGGTGGGGGAATTGTTTGAGGCTAGGGCTTCGAGACCAACCTGAACAACACAGCATGACCCTGTCTCTACTTAAGAAAAGTATTAGCCAGGCATGGTGGCACTCACTAGTCCCAGCTACTAGGAAGGCTGAGGTAGGAGGATCGCTTGAGCTCGGGAGGGTAAGGCTGCAGTGTGCTATGATCATTCTACTACTCTCCAGCCTTGGCAACAATGATCTAGATCCTATCTCAAAAACAAAAAACAAAAATGAGCATAAAGGACTTTATTTTATTTCATTTATTTATTTTTTGAGACAGGACCTCATTCTGTCACACATCCTTGGCCAGGCTCAAGTGCTTCTTTTGCCTCAGCCTTCCGAGTATCTGGGATTACAGAAACATGCCACCACACCTGGCTAATTTTTGCATTTTTTTTATAGAGACCGGTTTCACCATGTTGGCCAGGCTGATCTTGAACTCCTGGCTTCAAGTGATCCACTCTCTTGGCCTCCCAAAGTGCTGGGATTACAGGAGTGAGCCACTGCACCTGGCCTATTTTAATTAATTTTTTTTTTCAGCCGGACAGCTTCCCACGCTGGAGGAGGCTCAGAGAGACTCCAACATTTTATAATAAAAATATTACATATCACCTGTAATCCCAGCACTTTGGGAGGCTGAGGTGGGTGGATCACGAGCTCAGCAGATTGAGACCATCCTGGCCAACATGGTGAAAACCCGTCTCTACTAAAAATACAAAAAAATTAGCTGGGCATGGTGGCGCACACCTGTAGTCCCAGCTACTCGGGAGGCTGAGGCAGGAGAATTGCTTGAACCCAGGAGGTGGAGATTGCAGTGAGCTGAGATCGTGTCACTGCACTACAGCCTGGGCGACAGTGCGAGACTCAAAAAAAAAAAAAATTACTTATTTATTAGAGAACAGTTTCAAAATACTGATAAATATTGTTTTGTTGAAAATAAATACTTCAGGTTCCATTTCAGAAAAACATGACTGCTGCTATGAGAGTATATCCTTATCTACACCTTTCTCTAGATTCGAACAAGGGGAATAATATTGTATGCCATTCATATAATCTGCTTTCTTCAGTTGCTCTTTTTACATCGATATGCACTTATTATCAGCATCACTTTTGCTTTTTCAAATCTTGTGATGGGCAATCTCGGATTAATATTTGCCTATATCCTTAATTATTACTGACGCATACATTTCTAGAAATTGAACTATTACATCAGAAGGTGCAGGTTTGAGGCTACACGCAGTGGCTGACACCTGTAATCCCAGGACTGTGGGAGGCCAAGGTGGGTGGATCATTTGAGGTCAGGAGTTCGGACCAGCCTGGCCACCACCTCTACTAAAAATAAAAAAATTATCTGGGCTTGGTGGCACACACCTGTAGTCCCAGCTACTTGGGAGGCTGAGGCAGGAGAATTGCTAGAATTGGGGAGGTAGAGGTTGCAATGAGCCAAAATTGTGTCATTACACTCCAGCCTGGGCGACAAGAGTGAGACTCCGTCTCAAAATAAAATGATAAAATAAAATATTGATTCTTTTGTTCAGAATTATCATCTGATCCCAGACTGGCTTATTTCAGTGGTGCGATCTCGGCTCACTGCAACCGCTGCCTCCCAGGTTCAAGCAATTCCCCTGTTTCAGCTGGGACTAGAGGCTCCTGCCACCACACCTGGCTAATTTTTGTATTTTTAAAGAGACAGACATATTGCTCTGTAGCCCAGGCTGGAGTGTAGTGATGTGATTATGCAACTCACTGCAGCCTTGACCTCCCAGGCTCAATTGATCCTCCTACTGGGTCTCCCTGTGTTGCCCAGGCTGGCCTTGAACTCTTGGGCTCAAGGCATCCGCCTGCCTTAGACTCCCAAAGTGCTGGGATTACAGGCATGAACCACTCCACTCGGCCCCTACAATACTATCTTGACCCTTTATAGAAGTTTGCAGGCCCTGGTTTGGAGCCAAAGAGAGATGGTACTTGGATCTGTCCCGTGTCCCTCCCACCCCATCTCTGGGTTGAGTGTAGAAGCAGCTCATTTCTCTTAGACGCTGTCCCTGTCCTGTGGGGATGGAGACAAGACTCGGAAGGTACCATGGAGAAAAGCCTTAGCTACTTTATGAGTAGGCACAGGAACAAGTAGACAGCAGGTGGGTGTGAGTTTTTGGGTGAGAGTGAACGTAGCTGCTATGACTAGCAGGGCGTCTGAAACACTTGCCTTTGTTGAGTGGATCACTGCACAGTTAGCTAGTAGAGATCAGTTTCAGCTGTCCACCACCTCTGTTTTCAGAGAGGATTAGAGTGATTACAGTGATCAGGAGCAGAAGCCTGTGGGAAGAATGCGATACATATTGTTAATATTACTTTGTCATTGGACCCTGGAAGGGGGCATGGGAAATGGGAGGTGGGCTCTTGAATGGTACTGTCTCGTTGCCCTTTCTGAGGCAGAAAGTTAACAGGAAGAGACTTTTGTCATCCTCTAGATCCGGACCATCGCCATCATAGCCGAAGGTATCCCTGAGGCCCTCACGAGAAAGCTGATCAAGAAGGCGGACCAGAAGGGAGTGACAATCATCGGACCTGCCACTGTGAGCTTCCCCTCTGGAAAATGTTTGAGGCTATCATGAAGTTCAAGGCCCTTAGGAAGTTTACTTTTTTTTTTTTTTTTTTTTTTTTTTTTGTTTTTTTTGAGTTGGAGTCTCACTCGGTTGCCCAAGCTGGAGTACAGTGACATGATCTTGGCTCACTGCAACCTCTGCCTCCCATGTTTAAGAAATTCTCTGCCTTAGCCTCCCGAGTAGCTGAGATTATAGGCAAGTGCCACCAAGCCCAGCTAATTTTTTGTACTTTTAGTAGAGATGGGGCTTCACTATCTTGGCCAGGCTGGTCTTGAACTCCTGACCTCATGATCCACCTGCCTCGGCCTCCCAAAGTGTTGGAATTATAGACGTGAGCCATTGCGCCTGGCCCGGAAGTTTACGTTTTGACTCTTCTATCTCCCTCCTAGGTTTAGAAGATTCAGGAATTATGTGTTGAAAGTGTCCATTTTTAGTTTTAGTTTTTTTTTTTTTTTTTTTGAGATGAAGTCTTGCTATATCACACAGGCTGGAACACAGTGGCGTGATCTTGGCTCACTGCAACCTCCATCTCCTGGGTTTAAGCCATTCTCTGCCTTAGCCTCCTGAGCTGCTGGGATTACAGGCGCTCACCACCTCACCTGGCTAAGTTTTGTATTTTTAGTAGAGACAGGGTTTCACCATCTTGGCCAGGCTGGTCTTGAACTCCTGACCTTGTGATCTACCCACCTCGGCCTCCTAAAGTGCTGGGATTGCAGGTGTGAGCCACTGCACCTGGCCTTTAGTTATTTTTTTTAAAGGGCTCTCTCCCTAGTCCATATTATCTTTATGGTTTCAAGGAGCTAATGAGAAGTTTTTTTAGTATTTGTCTACCTTCATACAACCGTAGCATAGTCTTTGTTAAACCAAAGAATAAGCTGCCTGCAGGCCTAAAGGCTTCGTGTAAGAAGAAAGAAGAAATTATTCTCTTTTTTTTGAGACAGAGTCTTGCTTTGTTTCCCAGGCCGGAGATCAGTGGTGTGATCTTGGCTCACTGCAGCCTCCACCTTCTGGGTTCAAGTGATTCTCTTACCTCAGCCTCCCAAGTAGAAGAGACTACAGGCATGTGCCACCACCATGCCGGGCTAATTTTTGTGTTTTTAGTAGAGGCGGGGTTTCACCATGTTGGCCAGGCTGATCTCGAACTCCCGACCTCAAGTGATCTGCTCCCTTTGGCCTCCCAAAGTGCTGGGATTACAGGTGTGAACCACCGAGGCCGGCCAGTGAGCTGTGTTGTACAAATAAGGCTCTCTTTTGTTCTGTATAATGCCTCTTGAGAGAGAGAGGAGACTTTTCCTAAGCAGGAAACCCAATGGGCAGGTGCGATTCCTCTTGGTCATTCTCTTCCCAGCCTGGCCAGAGGGGGCTGGGCAGGTAATGCAGGGGCTTTGTGATTCTCTGTGGTGAATCTGGAAGTCACCTTCCTTCCTGATTGTGGTTTCTGCCCCAACAGGTTGGAGGCATCAAGCCTGGGTGCTTTAAGATTGGAAACACAGGTGGGATGCTGGACAACATCCTGGCCTCCAAACTGTACCGCCCAGGCAGCGTGGCCTATGTCTCCCGTTCTGGAGGCATGTCCAATGAGCTCAATAATATCATCTCTCGGACCACAGATGGCGTCTTTGAGGGCGTGGCCATTGGTGGGGACAGGTAATCAGCTGGGAAGCCAAGGAGGGCTTCCTGCATTGAGAGCAGTGGGCTGGGAGATGATGCTGTGTCCTGCAGGTTGCTCGCTGCCCCTGAACTCCAGGCCTGCAGGAATGCTGCTCAAGTCCAAAAAGTGGGGCATCTCTGCTCTTGTCTCAGGACTGACAGAGAATGAAATCTGAAAACACGGAACAGGGCAATGGGCAGGAGAGGCAACTGGGCTTTGGGGACAATTCTGCTTGTTGTGATTGGCCATAGGGAGGCAGCAGCATGCAGTGGTTAGGAGGGCCAGTTCTGAAATTGCATTAAAGAGGTTCAAATCCCATTTTCCCTCTTTAGTCGGGGATGGATGGTGGAGGCCGTCCTGGGCTTAGTTAACCTCCCTAGACCTTCATCTTTTTTTTTTTTTTTTT